CCCCCGCCCCTCGCGCTGCTCCACGGCGTGGACCACAGAAGGCCACGCGGGTCCCGCCCGGCCCGCCCAGAACTCCCGCCCGGCGGCACCGGACCCGGTGCGCCCCGACTCGGTGGGGCCGGAAGGGCACGTCCCGCCGTCTGCACCGGGAAGCACAGATCCGCTCGGACCGGGAACCTACGCTGCTCCCCAGGAAGACAGTCATTGGAGCGCCCCTGATGGGGGTGCCCTCAGAGTACCCCCTTTTCCAGCCGGCCTGGGGTAAAGGCCGGGAGCGTCATTGTAACGCACAAAGGGGGCAGGAGGGGGCGGGCGCCCCACCCGGCATGGACAACCTGCCGGGATGGACACTCCCTCCATCGGGGACGGAGCAGCAGTGCGGGGGTGCGGCTGTCCGCGCGTGTAGTTCTTTTAAAAACAGGCGGGATCGCCATCCTTTCCTCCTTGATTTGACGCATAAAATGCCCCAAACTGTTAAGTGTAACAGCCACTCTTTGTACGGGATTGGAACTTTTTCCTATTTTGCCTAATTGCCAAATTTCTCAAATCAGCTTCATATGTAAGAATTCCTGCTTCTGTGAATTTCTGGATGTCAGAAAGAAAAAATAGATGAAGAGTTCTTAAATTCTGAAATTCCATGCCTAAGATTTCACAAGTGTTGGCAAGTGCTACCTAGACTTTTTTAATTTTTAAAAAACATGATTTTTAAACAAGCAATACTTGCTTCATGCAAATACATTAATACTTCTATTAATGCACTTAATAGAAGTATTGATATCAGTATTTGATAACAATATAGCACACCAAAATATTGAAATCTTTTAGAAAAATACATTTATATTAAACGTAAAAGATATTAATCCTCACTCAACGAGACAAGTATTATGCTTCAATTGAGAGCTCAACATTATTATAACACTAGAGCCCTGGTGCACAAAATTCGTGCACAGGTAGGGTCCCTAGGCATGGCCAGCCATCAGGGCCAATCAGGACCTTCCTGCTGTGGGCCAGGGCCTTCTTTAGTTCCTCGCTGCCCCCTTCTGGTCAGTACCATCATAGCCATCGAATTCCCAAGAGGACAATTTGCATATTAGCCTTTTATTATATAGGATGATGGGGGAACCAAAGGAAGTAAACAAGGTAGCCCTTACCCTCAAAGTGCCTCTCTCTCTCTCTCTCTCTCTCTCTCTCTCTCTCTGTCTCTCTCTCTCTCTCTGTCACACACACACACACACACACACACACACAGAGGGATAAGCAATCAGAGCCTGGAGAAAGAAAACATTTTTAATCTGACCCTAAGGTCAGACTTTAAAGAGTTACTAAAAGGAATAATGTAAAGATAAAACTGCACTGGAAGAACTTCCTAACTTAACAAATATAATCTACATAACAAAATTAAAAGTATTTAGCAAATACCATCAAGACTGAACAATACGGGTGTTCTTATGCAAAATGAAAAAAATGTTAACCTTGAAACCATTCTTTTCCTAATAGCATAGTTTTCCTTAGGGCCCACATGCATAAACTGTCTTTTATTCAAGCACTATTAGGCACACATGCAGCCAACTTTTGGCACATCTGTAAAGGCCCTGTTTTCTACCTAGTGTCCATGGTTATGTAAATGGTCTTTGGAGCAAGTTACCTCCATTGAAATCCTGCTTCTACCACCACAAGTGACAATAACAAGATTCCTAACACTGTTCCTTTAAGCATACATTCTGCTTCCTAACTACTCACAGGGCTGTTGAAAGAATTAAACGGTGTGGCTGAGTGGTTGAGCGGCAACCTATGAACCAGAAGGTCACAGTTTGATTCCCGGTCAGGGCGCATGCCCGGGTTTCAGGCTCGATCCCCAGTGGGGGGGCATGCAGAAGGCAGCCAATTGCTAATTCTCTCTCATCATTGATGTTTCTATCTCTCCCTCTCTCTTCCTCTCTGAAATCAATAAAAATATATTTTTTTAAATAAATTACTTAATATAGTGCCTGATACATAATAGCTACTCAATCAAAAATAATAGTTCAGGTTTATGAAACGCTTCCTATGGGCCAAACACTGTACCTTGTTGGTTCTTATTTTTACTATTATTTCCATTCAGACTCTTGGTGGGTGCCTTACCCACCACCATCCCTTAGGGATCTATTCTCTCTCTGCCTTTTGAGGATGAAAATGGTTTTCTTATGTTAACTTGAAGGCTCATTTATAGCAATCTATTAAATATATTGTGAATTTACATCTTAAGCTTTAATAAAAAGTCTATGAAATGAAAATGATCGCCTCTCATTTGGAAATCTGAGGCAACTGGGAGCCATTAGGAAGGAGATTTGGCAAAGGGGACCCTTCCACTGGCCTTTGAAATCCCGTTCATCCAACAATTCTCATTTTGTTGTGTTCAAAAGACTTTTAAATATTAGAAAATTTGGCAACACATTTGAAGAACGTAAACCAATCCATATTGTTAAATAGAAATTACTAGAAGAAAGTGTCTCTCCTTCATGATGTTGACTCTGTTAACTGGCTGTTCTTACTACCCTGATCTAGATTCCAAGAGTTCTGAGAGATACGTGACTTTTCTGTGAAAAAGTATGCTATCCTTGTCTTGGGCCACACAGAGAGCTCAGAGCTCAAGTTGGATCTGATAGGCACCTTGGTAACAATCTGACAATCAGGTTGAGGTGGAAATACTGTACACTCATCATTTGGCTGTGGAACTAGGAAGAAGTATGGGCCTAGCATGGTAGCTGAGCACGACTGTATGATTCTAAGGCTGGGCCTGAAGGCACGAGGCATCAGGAATCACAGCCAGGCCCTCTCCCTCCAGGGAGCACACCCATGCATTTCCTTCCCCCTTTCCTGCCTGTCCCCCACCCCCGGACATACCCCCTAACCAATAAGGGACCCTATGAGACTTGCAACCAGGGGAGCAATGGGCAGCAGCAGCTTATCCCAGGCTCACCCCCTGAACCTGTCTCCAAGGCCCCCTTTTCTCAAACTTCCCAGTGAGCCAAAGCAGCCCAGCTATGGCTCTCCTGTTGCATCTTCTATGCCCTTCCTTGTTTCACTCTCCTAAGTATATTTTTGCTGCAGTCAACAAATTCTTGCTTGCTTTTCTACACACACACACACACACACACACACACACACACAGTCACAGCCGGTGCCTGGGTTGGTCTCGGTATCCCTCTCTCCCCATCATGTTACTATAGGAGTTCCAAATATGAAGATCCAGTTTCTGCTGACTCAAACCTTTCAGCCACCACAACATTCAGGCTAGGGATCGGGACCCTGGATCTTGGACATAGGAACATGGAAGGTGTCCATGGCAAAGGAGCTAGAGCTTTTGGAGAATTAAATGCAAGCCTTTTGTCTTTCAGTGGATCCTGAGAGCCAAAAAAGCAGTGCCCGTTTAGGCTTCATCACAGGAAGACAGCATTCAGAACGAGGAGGAAATGTCCGTGGCACATGTACTCAGCACAGCCAGTTACCTCCACTGCTTCTCCCAGTTCTGACACTACCACAGTCCCAGTTAAGGACATTGATAAGCTGGAGCACAACCTAGGAAGGCTGACCAGGAGGGTAAGGACTCTAGAAGCTGTATTATAATGTTGTACAGTTTTATAAATCGCTGGTAAAGACAATAGGGATGCTTAATATGGAGAAAGACAGAAGAGAATGTGGCTGAATATCATCATGTGGGCATAGTATTACTTTTTAATCATTGAGCTGCTACTTTGGACCAAGCACTGTCCAGAGCCAGTGTGTGGTTTATGGGAGGGGATATGGTTCAGGTAAGAGCTTTGCAACAGGATGGTAAGATCGCCTGGAGCCCACTCATGCCTCTGCTTTAACTCCTACGAGCTAGGCTGGACATTCAGAGGGCAAGGTCCTTCTTCACGGCTCAGTCTTAAAGCCCAGAGCCTCTCCTCAGCCAACTGCCTCCTCTTCCCCATCCTGCGGGGTGCCGCTGAGTGAGGCAACACCTGCACCGCTGTCTAGGACTGGAAGTGCTGCCCAGCTCCCTCTGCAAGGAGGAGGATGGGAAGCATCTGCCCTGCTGTCTCAGGGCCCTCATCTCAGAGGCCTGAAGAGCAGAACAGAGCAGATGGACTCTGTGGCCTGCACCTGGGGCTGGTCAGAAAATAGCTTTTGCCCTAGCTGGTTTAGCTCAGTGGCTAGAGATCAGCCTGAGGACTGAAGGGTCCTGTGTTCAATTCTGGTCAAGGGCACATACCTCGGTTGCAGGCTCAATCCCCTGGCCCTGGTGAGGGCTTCCATGGGAGGCAACCAATCGATGTGTCTCTCTCACATCAATGTTTCTTTCTCTCTGTCTCTCCCCCTCCCTTCAACTCCCTCTAAAAAAAATCAATGGAAAAATAGCCTTGGGTGAGGATAAATAAATATATAAAAATAAGTATAGCTATTAAAAAAAAGTTTTTGTAATCATCTCTTTCCCCCATCCAGGAGAAGAGCGGAGGGGAGCAGGCCGCCATACTTTGGCCAGTCGAAGCTTCATTCTCCTTCCTCCTAGTCCTTTCCTCTCTGAGGTGGGTCCTTTAGGCAGCCTGAATTCTGACCAGTCCATTGTCTGAGTAGGTAAATGTTGCCAGGTACCATTTTTTCTTCTAGCAGAGTAGTCAGTGGTCTTCTGAAAGGGACAGATTTTTTTAACTACTAAAGCAGGTAGACACCCTTGTCTTGGGTAAACTTCTTGTTTTTCCTGGCAGTGTCTTAGAACTGCCTCACCTCGTAACATGCAGAATTGATCTCTGAGAAGAGGAGTGATTTGTGAAATATTTCAATGAACCACCCTAGGCCAACCTGCCTGGGAGGGCTGGTGGGAAGGAATGCCCTGAACTGAGGGAGAGAGCAAGCAGATAGAAGCTGTGGCCCGCGCCTGGGGCTGGTCAGGGGAAGCTGGCCAGGACATCCCAAGGCTGTGTGCTAAAGCCACTTCTGACAAAAACCTCAGGAGGCTGGCTGCTCTAGGAGGCTGCTTGAATGAGAGCCCTGGAGTCGGGAGCAGAGGGGCTGTAAGGCTTGGGACTGAAGACGGTTAGGATATCAGGCTTGTAGCTGAAGCATGATACAATGAAACTGACTTCACTCAAATATCAAACACCGAGAATACTTTGGGCTTATCTGTTATTTATATGTAACCTGTTTGTTATGTCTTGTCTTTGTTTTAGCCACCACGTGGAAGAACCAGAACTGAAGAACAGACATGGCCACAAAGCCTGGGTTGGCATCCAGACCACCACTTGCTGACGATGCGTTTGGGTACATTACTCCGTCTCTCCAGCCTTCATTCCTTAGCCTGTAAAATGGGGAGGGATGTTGGTCCCTGATCCTTTCCAACTCTAAGGTTCTATAGCTTTTCAATGAAATTGTTGTGGAGAGGAAGACATAAGGCTTCCCTATCGATTGGAATATTTACACCAACCTACCACAAGGAATATTTCATGATACTAAGCCATGTGAACATGAAGAACAAGGTTAACTTGCTGAAGCAATTTTAGGTTGGTTTTCCTCTTACTAGCTGAAAAATCGACCCAGATGTTTACCAATAGGATCGATGGATACAAATATCAAGTCATACCTATATACTTAAGCATTAAGCTCCAAAGAAAATGACTTATTAGATACTCAATAACGTTTGTTGAGGAAGGTAGAGGAAGAGACTCTCTGAAAGACTTAAGTATTTAAGTACTATTTAAGAATCAGACTATAGATGAAATAAGTCCCAGCAACGATTTGCGTACATTGAAGTAGACTTACTCAAAATAATGTGCGTTTGGGATATTGTAGCAGAGATGGGTAACTTTGACCTTAGGAGAAAAATGATTAAGTCTATCGTTTACTATTATATCCCCATCTCTAGTGCCCAGAACAGGGGCACGTAGTGATTAAATGTGTGATGACTAATTGAATGAATGAATAAATAACAAATCTGGATGGATGATGGATGGATGAATCATTTAACCATGAATGAATAAATCAAGCATTCATGTGAAAGCTATAATGGTTTGGAAAAAAATAACACTAAACATTTGTGGAAAAGGTTCACATGTTAACTAGTATTTGTTTCTGGATATTTAAAGTAAAAGGATAACTGGAGGTATTCAAGAATCAACAGATTGGGCAGCTACTTGGCAGGTGTGTGAGACGGGATAAAGAAGGTTCAGCTTGGAAAGGTGATTGGACTAGTTTTGTCTTGATATTCTCTGATCTTTTAAATAAAGTGATTAATAAAGTTAAGGATCCTATAGTTGGCTATTTTAACAATTATCTTTAGGTTTTCAAGTTATAATTTTAAGAAGTAAAAAACATATGAGATGAAAAATCTCTATCTTTAAATAGTGTCCATATTACACACCAAAGTAATCATAAATTAAGTACATATAATTATAGGCAAGGTACCTTGCAGGAACTAATCAGCTTCTAGATTCTGCGCTTGCAAACCTAAACACATACAGAGATAATAATACCATTTGTTATGACATTGTGAAAAATATTTGGTTTTGATATTATATTTAAGAAAGACTTAGATCTTATATGAAAAATTTCAGAGGATGAGGAGGAAAATATACATTGATATCCATTCATTTCACTAAGGAAAAATTCTAAATATTAATTTTGTTCATCTTCAAAAGATTGAAAGATGGAATGGGAAATTGGCTTAGAGAAATAAGATAACACAAAGTCCACAGATTGAATAGTTTTCCAAGAAGTGATTCTATTAAATATATACATACATATATATATATATATATGGCATATATATATATGTGTATGTATATGTCTTAAATAGTACATACTTTTTGCCACATCTCTGAACAATAGAAGAGATGCTATGGAGAGGTAGACTAGTTGCCTAGCAACCTGAAATTAGTGAGACATGTCCCCTTTGGTTTACTTGATTTAAATCAAGATTTTCAAGAGCAACTATGAGATAAATGACAAAAATGTAAAAACTCATAATGCTAGCACCACACAATGTATATCAAATCATCAAATTGTATACCTTACATATATGCAACTCTTCATGGTCAAATATTCTATATAATAAAAACTTAATATGCAAATTGTTCGACTGGGAGTTCAAGCACTCGCTTTGACGTGCGCTGATCACCATGTGGCGGCATGGAACATGGCGGGTATTGGCAGGCAGTGGGTGGCAGTGGAGGCACTGATGAGAGCAGGAACACGGTGGGATGGTGGAGCAAGTGAGCAGGTGGCGCTAGGCCAAGGTGGGTGCGAGCGGGGGCACCGCCCAGCTCCCAGGCACTGAGGGAGCTGGGGGACGGGGGAGAGAGCCCGGTCTGATCAATCATCGGGCAGGATAGGGGAGCAGATGAGGGGGCAGCGCCAGGCCACAGCAGGGTGCCAGCCTGGGCTGCTGGGCTGTGAGGCTGGGGGCACGAGCTGGGGCCCAATCCCCGCAGGCCACCCCGAGGGAACCCACCTATGCACGAATTTGTGCACTGGGCCTCTAGTACCTCAATAAGAACAAAAATAGCACTTCTGAAGACTAAATGAGTTAAGAACAAGTAAAAAGAAAATAGGAAAATATTTTAAATTTAATAAATATGAAGGTAGAACAATAAAATGGCTCTTGCTGATGAAGATGGCTCTTTTTGTTTAATAGTAGAGGACATTTGGAAGCCTAAGGGTAAATTTGAGGTCTGAGGCCTAGAAAGCTTTTGTAAAGCTTTCTATACAGTGGTCTCAAAAAAAGAAAAAAAAGTAAATATACTGTTTTTAATCCCCAAATGTGGATGGTTATAAAGTAAAAAGTTACCCTTTTTAATTTTTTGCCAATACAAGGAAAATGCATTATTTCTGTTAGAAATTAAGTCTGAAATCTAAATCAAATTCATTTATTCCAATATACTGCTTCTCAGAAAAATTATATATAGTTTGTAGCAGCATTTTATTTCTCTAAACACTGCACAGAGAGCAAAGAAAGGACAAATTCTAGGTCATGGAAGGTCTGGATCCCCAAAGCAGACAATAGTGTCATTTCAAACTCTAGGTCAGAGCTCCTCCTACTGGAATAACTTACTCAGTACAAGATATCAGACTCTTGGTCAAGACTCAAAAAAAATTTTTTTTAAATATTTTTATTGATTTCAGAGCGGAAGGGAGAGGGAGAGAGAGATATAAACATCAATGATGAGAATCACTGATTGGTTGACACTGGGGATCGAGCCCGCAACCTAGGCATGTGCCCCTGACCGGAATCGAACCTGGGACCCTCAGTCCACAGGCCAACTTTCTATCCACTGACCCAAACCAGGTAGGGCAAGACTCAAATTTTTAACAGATGTTAATAGCACTGTCACATATTCAATAGGTCACAAATTCCTTCTTTGTGGTAGGGGGAAAATGTCACATCAAGTGCTAATTTTTAAACATCTATACTATATCTTCAATTCACTTTATAACTGGCATGTACTTTGAGATTTGGGTTAACATTTACATAGGACTTATGACCTACCTGGCAATATTCTGTGTTTAAAAATATTCATATAACCCTAACAACAACTATATGAGGAAGGAACTGCTCTGATCTTATTTTATGGGTGAGGAAACTGAGGTACATGATAGATCTTATTTCCTATGTATTTGCGGTTTTAATGTTATTGTAAATGGTATTTCTAAAATTTTATTTTTCAGCCTTTCATTGCTGATATAGAAAAATTGACTTTTGTTTATTGATGTAGTATCCTATGACTTTGTTAAATTCAATTGTCTTTTTAGATTTTATAAGGTTTTCAACATATACATACAATCTTGTTGTCTGTGAATACAACAGTTTTTCTTTTACAACTGCATGCCTGTTATTTCTTTTTCTTGACTTATTGTACTAGCTAGGAAATTAGAAGTATAATAATGATTAGAAATGGTAAAATGGATATTCTTGCCTTGTTCCCAGTTCTAGAGGGGAAGCATTTTTTTTTTCTTTTTTGCTATTCTATATTAATTGTAGTTATTTCAATAGGTGCATTTAATCGATTTAGGAAGGTCCCATATTTTTCTAGTTTATGGAGTTTTGTTTAAATCATGAATGAGTGTTAAATTTTGTCTCATACTTTTTTCTGCATATATTTCATGATCATATGGTTTTTCTCCTGTATTCATTCTATTAATGTAAGTCATAGCAATTGATTTTTGAATGTTGAAATAATCTTGCTCAAATGGTTATGATGCATTAGTCTTGTTATATATTGCTGATTTAAAAAATATATATCTCCTTGTTGTATATTGCTAGATTCCATTTGGTATGTTTTGTAAGGATTGTTGTGTCTATTCTCATGAGAGAATTTAGTTGATAATTTTTCTTGCAGTATTTGTCCAGGTTTGGTGTCAGGGTTATGTAGGCCTCATAAAATGAGTTGGGAAGTGTTCTTTACTATTTTCTCAAAGAGTTTGTGTAAGAAGTTATTTCTTCCTTAATGTTTGATAGAATTTCAGCTGGGCCTATAGTTTTGTGTGATTTTTAAATTAAACATTCTATTTTTTAACTTTTCAACTTTACCTTTTATCTTGTGTTGGTTTTGATATATTTTATTTTTTTCAAGGAATTTATGTATTTCATCTAAATTGTCAAATTGGCATAAAGTCCTTTGTAATTTTTTTTATTATGCTTTTAATCTGTAGGATCTATAATGATATCCTCTCTTTCATCCCTGGCGTTTCTCATTTATGTTTCTTTTTTCCCCCATCCTTTGAAATTCACTGAGACTTGTTTTTGAGCCAGCGTACGCTCTGAGAGTGGTGACTGTTGCATGTGCACTTGAAAAGAATGAGGATTCTACTTTTATCAGGGGAAGTGTTCTGTAAATATCAAATGGATTGACAGAGTTATCAAATCTTCTGTATCCTTACTCACCTTATACTTTCTCTGGCTCCAGCTCTGGAATCAGCCATTCCTCCAAGGACTCTTTTTAGTGTAGAATAGCATTTAGAAACCAAGATCTGGGGCTTTTGCTATGAGGGCATCATTGCTTCTAGGTCCTTTCAGGAGACAGAAGACATTTTTGCGCACACACACATTTATAATAATTTCTAGAACTACCTGTATAAAAATTACATATTTATCATGAGTTATATTTCGAACAACATTCCTGTATCCTTTCCAGCCTTCCCCCTTTCCATGTAAATGTCTTCTCAATGAGAAACTTGGTTCCTAATATCCTCAATATATTTAATTACTAGTGGCTTGGTGCACGGATTTGTGCACATTGAAAGGGAAATAATTAGAATATTTTAATATTGCGATTTGCTCTTTCTTCCTCAGCACCTGGGAGCTGGGTGGCAGCCCCACCCCCTGCCCCCACCGTTGGTGGCCATCTGCAGGGTGATCGGGCCCCTGCTCACACCTGCCTTGGCCTGGCCCTGCCCGCTCACCTGCTCCACCATTCCGCAGCCGCGGTCCCACTCTCATCGGGGCCCATTGGGACCAGCAGCACCTCCACTGCCACCTGCTGCTAGCACTGCATCACTGATGCCTGCTGTGTTCCGCGCTGCCCCCTGGTGGTTAGCGCACGTCATAGCAAGCCGTTGAACTCCCAGTCTCCCGGTCGAACCACCGCCCGAGGGGACAATTTACATATTAGGCTTTTAATTATATAGGATTTGCTCAACCAGTTAACTTATTTGCTCAATGTAGCCAATTTCCCACCCACTCTCTCCAACACCTCCCTTACCACCTCTGCACCCTCCTTCCACTGCTGTTTTCTCTGTCACCAAAGCCTCTGCATGACATCCTTCCCCCTTTCTCCCACATCCTCAGCCACCAGGGCATCCCACAATTGTCTCTGGAGTGTCCCTATCCCTCTGCCATGGCCCTTCTGGAACCCTGGGACATCCTGCTACTGTATTCTGTGTAGCATGCTCCCGCACAGCCCCTCCTCCTCCAAAGCCAGAATTTTTGTGCCAGGAGGGAAAGAAAAAAGAGGATAGGAAGGGAAAAAATAAAGAAAACATTTTTAAGGTCTTTTATATCTTTCCATCTACTTACTCTGTCTCTCCGGGGCTCCTCATTCTTCCCAGCAAACCTGGCCTTGCTTCTGGTATCATTTCCCGTCAGCCTGAAGAACATCTTTTAGGATTTCTTGTAACACAGATCTGCTGATGACAAGTCTCCAAGCTTTTTCTATCTGAAATGTTTTATTTTGACTTCAGTCTTGAAGGATATTTTTAGAATTCTATTTTGACTTTTCTTTCACTTTCAACAATTTAAAGGTGTGTTTCCATTGTCTTCTGGCCTTCATTGTTTTTCATGATATATGTGATGAGTGTATTTTTTCCTCTGGCTGCTTTTAGAGATTTTTCTGTATCTTTGGTTTTAGCATTTTGACTATATTGTGCATAAGTATGGCTTTTCTTTGCATCTGTCCTGCAGTCCTATTAACTTCTTAAATCTGTGGGCTAATGTCTCTTTAGGTGTTCTGAGACTCCATTTCAGTGTAGAGAGTTCCCCACATCAATAAGCAATTCTCAAATACCAGCAGAGTGCCTGAGAATTTAATTCAATTCTGACACTGTCCACCCAGAGATAGCTCCAGATTCCACAGGTTCTGGGCTCAGACCTACAAGACTGCACACCCACCCACCTCCACTTCAGATGCCGGTCACAGGCTGTCACTTTACTTCTGACCAACTGGCTGTAAATCAGAGGTTCCCACAAACCCCTCTCCCTGGGTTCTATTAACTTGCTAGAGTGAGTCACAGAAGGAAGAAAAACATTTTACTTATGAGATCACCAGTCTATTATAAAAGGATATCACTAAGGAACAGCCAGATGGAAGAGATGAACAAGGCAAGGTAGTGGGAAAGGGCATGGAGTTTCTATGCCTTCTCCAGGTGCGCCGCTCTCCCCAAACCTCCATGTGTTCACCAACCTGGAAGCTCCCTAAACCCATCCTCTTGGGTATTTATGGAGGCTTCATTTTATAGGCATGATTGATTAAATTACTGACTATTGGCAATTCATTAACCCTCCAGCCCCTCTCCCCTCCCGAGGTCGGGATGAAAGTAGGAATGAAAGTTCCAACCCTCTAATCACATGAGTGGCTCTC